GCGTACTTAATCGGTGAATTATAATCGCCAATTCGGCGTTGCTGAAAAGAGACAGAATAAAACATTTGGCATACGATGGATATTCAGTAGCAGCCGAAAACCGACAACCGAAAGATCGTAGCGGACGAGTCTTATTACCTCGTTCCCTTCGAAGTTTATAAATCTCATTTATATTTACAGAGGAAGTTGCACTTACCTGCCTAATAAATCTAAAATCTAGTGAAAACAATTAACCTGTCACGGTCTTAGTTAATGATAAAGACGAATATGCTACGAATCACTGGTAGGCAGCATTAAACCTCAAAACACTATGCAACAGAAATTTCACGTCGCGCTTCAGCTGTTGTTCATACTTCTTTCATTATTTATCTTAGTCCATCATCTGTCTACTTAGCCTATCTAGCCTGCGGCTGGTCTGACAGCCGCGCGGCGCCATGGCCCGACGGACGAGTCGAGGTGAGACAGCCGAACATGGCCAGAAAAACCCAGTTAACGAGAAACTGGCCGGTTTTAGCTGCAGCGGCCGCTGCAGCAGCTGACTTAGTCGCACTAAGTAAGTTTAGCTCGCTTTTGAACAATCGTGTTAAGGCAGGCAATTATCTCGAATAAGTTGCTGTGACGTGATGTGGACGATGGGTTCTATTCATGCTGCTTTATATACGCCAAACTTGAAATCTTTCCCAAAAATTATCTGCCAACAGATTACCATCAACAAGCATTTTTCCACAGTTTACGCCGGTAACTGGTCGTCGTGCGTTGGAATTGGTCAAATCTTTATCGTACAAAATGTTTCTTAGAAAGCGAAACGGGCAGCGTCAAGTGTCCGGAGCGAACGAAATGAACGATCTACAGGTAGGCGATCTCAGCATTTACCACGCATACGCACGTTGCAGGAGGGTCGTGCTATTGCGGCCCGCCTAGTTGAAAGGTGGACGTAAGTCCAAGACGACTTGCAAAATGGTAGCTGATATTTGCAGTCCGCAAAGAGGAAAGCCCGAACACGCGAAAGATTGAACGATGAGCGCTCTTATTTTTATATTAAATAAATAGAAATTGGTATCTTTTTGGGCGGCTTCGTCTTACAGACAGGGGCAAGCACAATCCCTCATTCGCTTTCAAAAAAGAGAAGAACAGTCAAAGAGATAGTCGAATTATCTGAGTTTATTTTGGAAGTACAATGGCTACATTCGTGGAAATGTTTTTCTTCATTCCCATCCACCTGCCGGTGCTATACGAAACGGAAGCAACCGTTTAATACGAAAGCCGTGTAGTTATAGACGTTTTCAGCGTAGTTAGATGCCTTTGCCAGCTGTGAGGGACTAATAAATGCTACTATGCACCTTCATGAAAACGAGCTGGGAGTGACTAATCATTCTCGGCAGTTACACACTGATGGCCGCCTCTAGCTGACATGTTGTTGTGGATAATGGCGAAAGCATCTCGCATGTGCTAGACAATATCATGTGAATGTATATGGCTTATGTTATTTCTGTTTGTGCTATCCCCCCTGTGCTCAGTGATAGTGTCCGGTCCGACACGTAGCTGGTGCATTCGAACAGCTACAAGGTTTAAATTTGGGCGCGCGCGCGCACGCTGGCGCTGCTGACCGTTTTGCGACATCCTGGTCTTGACCACTGGTTCTTATGCGAGCAGCGAACATAGATACGAAGTTGGAATAACTTTCAACCACTATCGTGCGCGTCGTTGAATGACGAATTGACTTGCTAATATAGCCAATGCACGCACAGAGGGTTTCATCATTTTTATAGTTATTCTGTTGCTTATAATTGTATACGGAGTGCGTGTAGCTTATACCGCTCTGGGGCTGGCCATGCCCGAATACATGTGTATTAGCTGGCTCTAGAGCTACATAATATGTGTGATTAAAAAAGGTAAGACAAGCTAGGCGCTTAGTTCTCAACGAAATATTACAAACCCTTAGTCAAGTAATCATCGACGATTTGCAGATAAATCTCAATTTTTTTTTCATTGAACAGTTTCTTTTGGCTAGACTCGAAAAATACGTCTCAACCAATGTATTCTTCGATATTTTTTAAGATCGATTTTTTTAAATCAATTTACTGCATTTGAGCATACGTTCTACACGACACGTTATAACAAAACTGCCAGTAAAAAGGGTGAACGCATAGAGGTGGTCGCCTTGAGCACGCTCATGAAAACATATTTCGCCCTCGCTTAATAAGAACACGTTTGCGGACCGCCTATCAGAAAACTCGTTCTGACATTTGAAGTAACAATAGTTAAGCAATACGTTAAAAAAATAGAACAGGCGCCAAAATTTGAAACTTTGTTTTGTTCTCGGTGCAAATCGTTCTCCACCGCCGGTTAATGGCTCGCAGCAACTCGAGCAGCGTTCGAAGGGAGGCGCCTAACGCGTAGACGCTTTACGCTCGGCGTCTGGTGCGCAGATCTGAACACTGATCCTCTCTGCCGTTATCAAAACCTCGGTGATTTTTTTTTATTACAGACGAGTATTGTAAAAGCATAGTCTAGCCAAATTAAGCATTCACATATAACCTGAAAACGTTAAATTGTATATCCTTATGGACTTTACTTTCAGGAGCTCAATATCAGTAAATAAGGATTATCTGATAGAAATAAAACGAGCGCCGCAATTAAGCTTAAAAGGGTGCCTTTATTAAAGAAGAGACATTAGGTGCTTGTATAAGCACATACATGGCTATATATTGGCAACTCCTGCCAACAGTATACGGCAGGACTACACAATACTTTTAATTACTCGTATTTAATCGCACTTGTATGTAGGTGGACTAGACAATGTAAGCATGTAAAGGAAGTCTTCTATCAGTCAGCATTTACTCGGAAGAAAAAACAGTCAACTGATCTAATCAAATCATTAATTGCTTAACTCCTCCAACGGTGAATAGTGAATTCGGATCTAGCACATAAACTATGTCTATTATTTGCTATGGCTAGTTTCGTAAGACATTGTACATAAAAGTCAGTACTTTTCAACTGAATTCAATTGAAAAGGCTCTTTTCAATTGCCAATTCGCCATTAATGACAGTTTCAAGAAGTAGCGGTTTGCTACTCTTAATAACTACGCGGTCGTAAGGAACTGTACAATATGTTTTCGAACCCAGCTATACGCAGAACTCTGCTACCTTCGTGGCTTTCAATGGCCTGCCTCTCTCTTTCGAGGAGCGTAGTTAAGGCATAGTAGGCAACCGCCTGTTGAGCTAAACGATGTCCAACATTGACTAGCTTGGGTTTAATCGGAGTGCTGAATTCTCTGCCTCGATTTTTTGCGCGTACTACCGCCGGTGTGTCATCATTAATGAGATAGTGCGGTTCGGAGCGACCCTCACACCGATACCTGCAGCCGTTACGGACAAGACTAGCTACTATCCGCACGACATGCACGACTGATCTCGTACAACTTCGCTTCATGAACGAATGAGACAAGTCAGGAACGGTAGAAGCCAGCGAAGATGAGGGGCGAGAGAGACGGAACGAATGAGTGTCCATCACAATGGGCTAATGCCATTTCACCTTCACGGTGATGGCACATTCACGAACACCGAGGTAGAGTTGGATGGACAAAACGCCAAAAGGGTATAATTTTGCTTATTTTGTTAACTGCTTTGTTTAAACCGTTTGTTAACTATCCGGCACTGCTGGGCGCGCCCCATAACACTTGTGTGAGTGCGTAAGCAAGCATATTATAGATACGATAGCACTGTGTACATATAAAGTGGTACATTTATTCGGGTAAGAGAAATCAATTGGCTTCGCTTTGCTGCTAGTAAGAAACATGTACGATTAAATCATCAGTATTATATAAACTGACGTTTAATCGAGTGGTGAGAACTCGACCAACGATACTATCGCAAACATCCAGAACAGAGAATGATGTTACCCACCGACTAACGAGAATCTGAGCTGTGAAGTACAACATTGAGACTGAATGTGGACGAGTGTTTAGAGTAAGACTCTTTCTTGGCTAATCATTGACCTTGAGTGCCTTATGACTTCAAAAAGTGTCTAGGCCCGTTTCCCAATTTTGACTAATGTCTGGGAGTGTTTAGTAGTACGTAAAACACGTTCCCATTGCGCTATCTGGCCGATACGGGACGAAGCTGGCTGAGAATAGTGCCAGCAGTGTTGTCCTCCCTCAGCCGTCAACGAGAACATTACGCTCTTTGCTAAAAGTGTACGAAGCTGATTTTCTAGAATCTGGATTGCTTCGTGGGCCGTGCTGCGGACCTACCTAATTTATCGATTATTGTATATCGGTGGAGATATGATATCGATTGTTGTTTCAGTAAAGCAGGTGCAGTTAGCACAGTTGGGTTGGTATGCTTTCATTTGTAGTTGGAAAAAAATCAACGATATCGCGTCCTTTTAGAGACACACTTACACGATAAGATGATTAAATAAAGAAGCAACAACATATATATCTCCAACGAAGCTAGTACACATGTACTTTTTATGAGAACCTTTTATAAACTAGACATTGTTTCCTTTCTTTTTCCTTCTGCTTTTTTTATGTCGAAAAGTGCTTTTGCTTAAACACATGATACGCATCAACTTTGACGTCTTAGAACGGTTTGAATGCTTTCTATATGATAACGTAAGTTCGTTGTCAGGGTAAAACTATGCGGTATGGTAGTATTTAATTTAATTAATTGCTAAACTTTATTTTAGATGATACAGCTGCCTGAGACTACTGTTCCAAACGAATAAAAAATAATTATTATAATCTTGGCCATTTTTTTCCATAGAACTTTGCTTTGTTTATAGCCTTCGTTGCAGCAGCCTCGCGAAGCGACACTCGAGTGGCGGAATATTTTTTATCAGCCATTTTAGCGTAATAGCAAAAGCTACGTTGGTTAACAATATAGATACATTTAACTAGGTTATACCTTATAGATTTATTGTTTCAGCTATCGTCAGACATCGGAAATAATATGGCCTCATACTTAGCTGATAACGAGGCAGTGTGTACTGGGAACCTCAAAAGCCATCTAAATTTCACTTAGCCACTCGCACAAAAATTGTTGCTAATATGTTACTTTTTAAGATCCTTTCAGACGGGTGGTTATCAGCGGAATGGATGCAAGTACCATGTATTGTTCAGAGTATAAAGTACTATTCCGTTTTAGTGGTTGCTCGGTGGAAACGATTCAGTGTCTGCCTGGTTGACTAAAGCTTTTCACAGATACAACTCCACACGCGTGTGCTTAAATCAGGTGCAGTGTGATGCGAAATTTTTAGAAATGGGTTAGAAGTTAAGCCATACGGTTCTGCATCGAAGGGCCCTTAAGGTTGCTGAAGCACATGTCGTTCAAGTCGCATTAACTAACACGGTGTTCTGTGAGTAAAAATATCATCGCTATTTTTCGTTAGTCGGCTACGTAAAAGCTGGACGCAATTATTTTAGGCGGATTTAACTATAGGCTAGCGAAGGTTGTTTTTGTATTATATAACATATCTTTTATACCGGGTCACAGTGAGAGGCAGCTTTTGTTTGTGTCTGCTAAGCATAGACCGTCTGCGGAGATCCATCGATAAAGAGCAATATCTAAGCTATGAGACTGTCTGAAATTTTTCATTAATGGAAGCTTAACAGTATTCGAAATATCCGTAACGGAATTTCCATTATTTTCAGCCGTTTTTCGTTCAGAATTTTATTTTTAAAGTAGAAAAAGCGTACTACGTTCAGCTGCGCTCTTAGAGTTTGAGCAATACAAGAATGAAGTACTTTATGCTGTGAAGCAATAAGCTACCTAAAAAAGCTTTTTACACAAAATGACACTCATAGGATATTGCTTTAGGCACGACTTGCGATCGCTGTTCGAATAATAACGCAAATAAATGTTTAGGGAAGTGGTAGCAAACTGTTTCGTCAATTCGTAAAATCCTATTGTAGACTAAACCTTCTTTTCCAGTTTTATTCGTTTCCCAATAAACTTTATGTCCACGCGTAGTACTTTAGTGGATGTATCATTTCACTCTGCTAGACTTATCTGGTTTTTCTTTTTCTCTACAACACCGTTCACTAGAACGTGACATCGATGCATTTGTTGCGTGCATACAAATCAATTTCTGATAGCTGGTTTATCTCAATGCAGCATCGTTAAGTGTCACGATTGGCTAATTTATTCCATAATTAATAAGACGCAGTGTGGAGTAAAAATATAAAAAGAAGCTTGTCGAGCTATAAAAATTTGATGATATGAAAGTATTTGGCCACGGACTGATAAGCAAGTTCCTTTTCGTCATATGGACGCCACTGATGTGTACTTGAACAAAAATTATTTTTTATACATACGCGCTGTCATTAATAAATTCAGAAACATTCTGCTGCTTTGTTAATCGTAGCACACACGTGTTCCCCTTGAGAAAAAATCCGTTGCTACTAAAACGGAGCCATAAGCTCATTGTGACGGAGGCAGGAGGTGACTGATTCGAGGACTGTTCCCGTGCGGTTAAGATGAACATCTACGATGTGAATTGGATTAAAAGGGCTCGAAAAAAGCCATTTCGCCATTCATGATAATGGCGGACTCCTAAAGCCGCAAACGGCTGCTTCTGAAATATTGGGTCATCCAGATGAGCCCTTAACGATCAGTATTTTTAGAACCGTTTGACTCTTTAAACTTCGAAATGATTGGCCTTCTGCCAACCCAGAATTTAAGTCCGCTGACTTTTTGTATCTGGCGTGTTTAAACGACGGGTTTATTCGTGTCACTTCATTCATAGATCACAGAGTTTTCGCTAATTTCCAAAAGAAAAAGTCTAAACCAAAAAGACGGTTCAAAAGAAACGGTCTAAACTCCTGAGACGCATCACGTTGAACAAACGCGTCTAGTTTACTCCGAACGTCCTGTGACTGCAACACCGTTGCAACACTATATTTGTAGTTCGTACTGCAGCTTGTTGACGAGGAACAAAGAGACTGAATGGTCTTCTGATGTTCTTTTTCCCCACATATATAAGTATGATGTTTATTCTTTTTTTGAGCGTTCTTATTTCTCGTCTTTCTAGTATATATATATATATATATATATACATAGATGTTTTCTATGTATTCGCAAACATACAATTGTATTATGTGGACGTATGAACCATTATTAGATAAAACGTTCACATCTGGATGCTCAAGGGTTCTGAATTTGAATTCCTACACTGAAGGTCGAAAACGTGTAATTTTTTTTATCTTATTTAGAAGAGTTGCCGTAATGCCAAACTGACAATGCCTGAACGAAGGATTAACGCAAAGGGTCGGTCACTTGATATCCGAAGCTTCTCTAATCATCAAATACAAGCATTGCTTTAGAGTGTGACTAAAAGAAAAAAAAGGATGATGTGAATTAAGTATTAACGAATTTTCGGCACCAAAAAATTGCCTATGAATAATGCAGAAGAATACTGGAAAAACATCGGTTAAACGAAGGCTTTAATCAATTACCTAATAATTGTGGCTCTGTGCGTCCAAATAACTGAAATCCTTTAAGTAAATCTAAGAAATAGCATGTGGTAGGTAGCATATTTAGTATGTAGCATGAGGTGTTCAGTATCATTTTAAGGGTCCCTGGACAATCGCGCCAAAAAGACTCAAGACCGCGAGCTTCGCTAACGTACAGATCTTTGAGCGAATTGAACGTTGTCCATGTCGGAGGATTTCAGCTGTGTTTTTGATTATTATTTGAGATAATACGCATTGTCTATGTAGGAAAAAACCAGCGCCAAAAACATTTGAGAGCGAGCGGCGAATGTCCAACAAATGCACGGTGTCATTATTAATATCTTTAAAAGTTAGCCTTAAAATTTAAATTCGGATTAATATATGGTTGCTGGGATAGTCGTCCCAACATGTTACTCTGAACATTCTAGTTATGTAATCTCGCATGAAATCTCGTCGAGAGACATTTGCAAACAGCTTTTCTAACAGTTGTTTATGTTAATCGATACTAATGTCTCAACGTGAAAATTGAAGAAATTTTATGTCATGGCGCCATCGTGTTGTCGTACTTGAAACGTAACACACTTACGTAAATGAAAAGGAGGAAAGACGCTATTCACAGGGGCTCTGCCCGTCGTTCGTCACCTTGATTCACGAATAGCAGGTAGGTCGTCTTTGAACTGCAACCAGCAATTTACGTTTACCAAGCAATGTTAGGTAGAGCTTGAATCTCGGTAAAAAATAACAGAGGCTGTAGGCATATCGATAACAAAAATAAAACCTGTTTCCATCTCTGGGCGTAAATTAGTAAGTACAGGCTGACCTAAGTAAAAGAAAAAGAGGACATTTTTATTGCAGGTCGACTATCAAAGAATACTGTATGGGGTTGGCGCTATTTTTTGTGTTCCGTTATCGATTCGCCGTAGTTCCACATAAGAAAAAAGTGTGACCTGCCATCGAAGCTTGAGAGAGACCACAGAATCAGCATTGCGCCCGGTATCAATCAAAGAACATTTTATGGAAGTTGGTAATATCGCCTGAGACAGAGACACTGTCCCAAATTTATTACATCAGTCCTGATTGTATCATATGGAGCATGTGATAAGCCACCAGACGTGGTTTCGAAAACAATGACGCAATGAACCAACACTTAGAGCAGCATCTATAATAACAGAACCTAATTTTACTTTCCATTTCGTCTCCTCGTTCGGATTTCTACCGCTGTTTTGCTGAATGCTCATTTACGTCTCATTTAACAATAAACTTGTCCCTATGCAGAAAGCATGCCTTTCGAAGTTTAGAAGGCAATAGATTACGCTACAGCGACTATTGCGACCCGAATAGTCTAAGCCTGCTCAAAATGTTTGCCATGTAATTTTGGCAAATACTATATAGGTCCAACTAACATTGCCATGCGGGGACCGGGATTTCAATCAACATATACCCACATATTAGTATAGTGTACTGCAGAAAGTAGCCCATAGAGCAATAGCCCAATTTTAAAAGATAAAATTTTAGATTGTTGCATTCTGTCTTTCACATTGTCAATCCACTGTCACCGACAGTTAAAAAAATGAATCGCTGCCACAGAGCTGTGCGCCCTTAATAGCTCAGGCCTTAACGCCTATTCCGATGATTGAAACGATTTCATAGCGATTCCGATCAATCGAAACGGGTTGTTGGAACTCTGGTTAGAAGTGGTGGATCCTGGTCGAAAGAAAATAAAAGAGGATAACCTTAACTGGCAGTTTCAGTTGTGTGCGAACGTACAATTTTACTCCATGATCCCAAAATCTTGTCCTCTTGCAACATCACGTATCTTTATTGATAATTTAAGACATCTCATTATGTATTTAATCTTTAATCGGCTTTCATTTGAGGTACACGTTTGAAGGAGCTGCAAATGACTCAAAATGTATGTTTTAATAATCTATTGGTAATGCTAGCGGATTATGTTTTATATCAACCGTGTCGTTTCGACAGTCAATGTTACGCCGTATCATTTTATAGTATTCTGGCGAGGTATAATCGCTTGAAAAAAAGCGTCTCTGTGTTCACCTTACTGCCTGTGAGTGGGAAGTGTTTTTAATTGTAACAGATTTGTCTCTGCTTGATACAGATTAATATTATAAATATTTTTGACGGAAAATCTCTCTCACGTTACTTTTTTGCCTGGTTTCTTCGCGAAAATAGTTAGCTAGCAGAAAAAAAACATCCGTATGGGATCTCTCTCGTTGCTTCTTCTTTGTTATGGTTTTCTTTTAGACGAGTAATATCTGCTCGTATTAAATCTGAGCTGGTAAGCCGTTGTAGGCAGCAGATTATCGGTACGGATTGCTGCTTAGTCCAAAGGGCTTTATACTTATAGAAGCTCTGATTACTATTTTGAAGCATGGTAGTTGAACGGGTTAGCAAAAAACAAAAAGATAATATTGGAAAGAGTTGGTCTTCCGCTAATTTAATTTACGTTATTATTCGGAACGCGACACTCAATTGGCGGCTGCAGCAGTGGCTGAAGAGTGTAGGACGAGACCCCGCCAACAGTCGCCCTGTTCAAAACAGTTTTCTTGTATCTAACATGTTAAAATAAAATCTTTCGTGCCAAAAAATACTAGCTTGGTTAATACGTTCCCAGGTTTTTTATCGGATACAGGAGACTGTCTGTAATAATAAGCTATTTAATTATGTATGTCTCGTTACTGTTCAAGACTTCCCCACTTTTCCAGCAAACTACGAAACGTAGCAAAGTTGTCTCCCAAGTGCGCTTCAAGCTGTTAATCCGTGTTGATAATGAAAGTCCAGTAAATGGAAAAGGTAAAAATTTTCCAACGTGAGGTTTGGAGAACGCAACAACCCAAAAACCTTCCATTTGGTGTCCAAAAAAATAGCTTTGACAGCGTTTGCCGCATGATGATCCGCGATCCCCATTGAATCACAAACGCAAAACATAATCTTTTTCAGATGACGATCCTGTTAGACCTTGGCTCGTTTGTTGCAGTCACCCATTCCAATCTTTGATTCATGCTGACTCTGACGTTCGTATCATTAACCAAAGGCCTTATTGCATTTGTTGATAAACTGTTACATCTAAGCGGTAATGCGGATAAGTTTCACACAGGTCGAGAAACGCTCGATGTTTGTTAGAGTTTGAATCGTTGTTTTCATTGCTTACGCTACGTGAGCTAGTTGTGTTCGGCGGCAGACAACAGGTAGTTGCCTTCGTATCAAAGATAGTATTACGAAGTGATTGATTTCTCTATTGATTCCATGCGTACCGTGTCATTTGCTTGTTACTTTTTCACTGCGGGCCCCGCAGCCATCAATGGAAGTCAGTATTTATTTTCTCTAGCTTATACCTGTTAGACATGGTGGATTACGCCTGGATTCGACAAACAATATTCCGAAAACGAACGTGCGCGCTGAATTTCTTCAGTTATTTCCAATTTCAGGGCGTGTCTTGACTATCCAAGAATCGCGGGAGACACGACGTGTATTTATGAAGCTAGTTTCTCTGTTGCCAATTGCCTAGGTACCACTTTATCTGTCGACATCTTACCAAGGTTGGGATAGGCCAGGGGCCTTTGGCTGGAGTGACTTCAGCCTCTCCCAACAATTGAGGCACCGTATTCTTACTATTCTATATTTGGTCTTCCCCGAAATCGATGAATGCATCAAGGTACAACCAAATGATTATAGTTAACGATCCTCATCTGTTTCTGATGCCAGATTCTGTCTAGCAGAACATTCGCATGTACTACCACAAGAGAGAACAATCATTGGGTCTAATGTACAACTACACTGAGCGCATCTGACGAATGATTCCGGAAAAGAATATATTATATTTTCTTCGGAACAAAAGTGGAAATAGCCGACACGGAAATTTTTGGGCATTAACTTGGGCAACGTTCTCTCATTTAAGGAGGCGAGAAGGTGCCTTCGTGTGAATATTAGCTATGCTAAAACTGTACGTGGTTTAGGTGATCAGCTGTTTTTCTCTCAAAAGGTTCGGAATCTGCACCCCAGGGGCTGTTGTAATTCACGGCAATTAAGTGAGGACGACAGATTAGGTTGGACCTAATCTATTGACTCGAAATTTCTATCGGCGATTGTAGGTTCATGGTGACTTTAACGGCTGAATGGAAGGGGCAGAAGCAGACTCTAGCATAGTCCGAGGGAATATTCACGTCAGAAAAAGAATCGTGCAGACTCATAGGTTGCCGTTAAAGGGTGCGCTTTTAATAATATTTTTGCTCCAGGAGTTTAGTAAGAAAATTCAATGTGAGTAAGCGCATAGGGTCATAAGAAACACACAGAAGCCTGAAGTACACGTCGTCTGTAGTGAAGCTCAGATCAACATGACCTCCAAGAGTAAAACTTTTAATACGCGTAAACCCTTTGTTGAAAAATCTGTCGTTTTTATTTAAATACGGTGTTAGCAACAAATAATGAGAATCTTAACTGAGATACCATATATATCACAGCGTTTAACAATGCTTCGCCCGTTTTCCTGGAAGCTGCCTTTTTAACGACTTGCACCCTCGTAACTTCTCTATCGAAGTTAATATCAGTTACCGTTACAAGGGACAAGCACCGCGCTAACTCACTTTGTTTTCTTTGTAATTCCATCTTGGCAGATCCACTTTCAATCTAGTGGACTATTCCGGCTTCTATAGCCTCCAACGATTTATGGTTACAGCGCTTTGAGCTACTTTAAGAAACCGATAAAGTCTCGTTAACGCAATGCTATCGCTATCTCAGAATTGCAATGTTATTTTCAAGGGATAACTACGACAGTCTTCCCATAGAGGCATCTTCATGCCTCACCCCCCTGTCGTTAATGGCCGTCAACCGCCTAACTATAGCCTCCATCACAGTTCTAAGACGTATGATCGAAGAATCCTTTGTTATTGGTATTAGATTTTGTTGAACGTTGAAAACACCTGAAGGATTTAGTGCTCAGTCTGATTCTTACCTGACATGTTATTCTACACAAAGCATGCGCTAATGATTAACACAGGGTGTACGTGATCGTTCGGCTGACGACACAAGTAAAATGTCAATCTTGGATATTGTGTTCCCCTACGATCAGATTTCGGGTAGTAATCTCAGCTAGAGAAGCATCAAGAGAATTGCAATGGAAAAACCGTTCGAGTTATGTAAATAGTTTTTTTTTACTACTCAGAAATTTCAACTTAGTTTTGTTCTTGGCTTGAGTAAATTGATATTTCACTGTCCTTATACTTCGTACTAGAGCCCTTCTTCCTGTTTTGCTATGCAGTAAAATTGTTTGTTATAGAGTCAAGTTCTTCGGAACATGATCCTTAAGGATATCCCGTTTCGCACTTGAATTTCCGAAACAATGTATCTCACTGCTGTTTCAGAATGGCTTAATAGCTTCAGGTAAGCTTTCTTACAATGGATGACCGTCCGAATTTGAAGATACCGACTGCATGATGTTGTGTTCAGCCACGAACTTGAGGGGCCCTATATTCATGTCACTAAGCAAAAATGCAGGATGTGTATATATACATTTCTGATCGTGCATGCTGTATTACCACTAGTATGTGGTCTATCGTCGCAGTAAACATACGATTATGGCATTTTATGTCTGACCCGCATGAGCGTATATGACATGTATCCGTCATCTACAAAAAATAACTCTACACCGAACGCTGCGGCGTCAATGGGATTAGGGCGCCAGATTTGAATTTCAGTTCAGATTAATATTTAATTAATAGCTTATAGTTCAGTGCAGTCTGAGCAGAGCAAACGTCATTATAATCCTTACTGGTAGTCTTCTTTGAAGCTGGGCCAACTTCGAAACAAATATCATTGCCGGTTGTAGCGCACCAACGTTAAAAGGTCTCAATTTGTCTAAAAAACGCGTCAGACTGGCTTTAACTCTTATGCTTTAAGTAACAAAAAAAGAAAAAAAAAGGAGTAAAAAATATTTTTTAAAAAATGTTGTCTATCTAAATACTCGTTGTGTTTTATTTTATTTGTTCGTATATAAACTTCGAACGTCACTATATAGTGAATCACGTTTGTGAGCTCCAGAGGTGTTTGCAAGAGAAATTCGGAAGGAAAAAAAGGAAATAGTTTTTCAAGGGTTCAGAGATGCATGATTTACCGAAGCTAACGACAAGGACGGATTCAGCTGTGAACTTAACTCTGTGTGTTG